TAATACTTCGGTAATCAATATAAATTCGTATACTACCGCCAGGCTTCTTTACTAATAATATTAGGGATATTACTAGGAATTAGAATAGCTAAATAAAGCCTTATTTAATATTATTATTTAGCTATTTCTTAATAATACCTAATTCTAAGGGAAAAAAAGGTCGTAAATATATATTAGGCAACTCTGCGCTTAGGATCAATTTAATCTTATAGTTGTAGGATTTATATTAGAGAATAACTTTCACCTCCCTAGGATTAGCCACATTCTAATATTTATAGTAATAAATAAACATTTTTATTTTAATTTTTTACTTAGTAATAAAGGGTTTATCCGCCTTTTTATAGAACTTCTTAGCATCTTCCTTTATAATCCTTACTATAACCTCCCCTATATCGCCTTAAAGTATTTTAAGGAAGTAGTCTATAAATTGAACTTTATATTCTATACTATTACCCACGTAAATATCCTTATACATTTTCTCTATAACCATTATTTTAACCTTTAACTACTCACTTATAATCTCTATTTTTAATTTCCTTAGTACTTCCTCAATTTCCCCTCTAATTATTACTACGACTTTAAAATTTTCGGTTTTAATTATAAAATTAAAATTAGCAGCGTTAAGGGCTATAATATTATTAAGATTAATAGGAGTACTATTAATATTTATAAGCCTTACGAACAATAGTACTAATAATTTTCTCTCAGGATCTAGGGCTCGGACTCGCCTACTACTAATAGTCTTATATAGGGTCGGCTTTATTATTTTAGTCTATACCGGTATATTAGGGATTATTAATATTTAGCTGCCTATAGGTAACTAGGTGGGCTAAAATTATTCGGGGACTATACCGCATATTTTAGCGATTTTATTTAATAATTTATCCTTCCTTCGCTTAAGGGCTCTACAAATTAGGAATTACCGCTACTACTACTACTTAATCTCAATAATTAGCTCCTTCTCGGCCGCCTCGTCGGCTTACTCCTCCTTAACCGCCTCGTCGGCTTACTCCTCCTCGGCCGCCTCAATAACTTACTCTTCCTCAACCGCCTTAATAGCTTACTCCTCCTCAGCCACTTCGGCAGCTATCCGTTTAACGATATTACTAACTATTACCTCCCTTAAGGCCTTAGGGGCCCAAATCTAAAAGTCCAATATAATCATCAATATATAAATATTTCTACATTTACAATTAAATTTAAGTTCTCCTTTTTCCTAATTTGTAAATAAGTTATACTATTGGAGCTACGGTAGACCTAGGATAATAGGGTTTTTTAGGGATAGGGTAAAGACGAATAATTCGATATTTTCGCTATATAATCCGATTTATATAATAATATTTATAGAATTAGTAATATAGGTATTAATATTACCGTCGGCGAGCCGTAGGGGTCTTAATTAGTTAAGCTTTATTGTGGATATTTGATTTTTTTTAATAAATTTGGTATTAATAAAGCTTTTGCCCGTATAGTTACTATTAATTAAAGTTAGGTATTATACTTTGCATTTACTATATAGAAAGTAATTTGAAAGGAGGATAAATTTTTTTAGTCTAATTATTATTAAATTAATAAATAATAATTCTAATACTTTATCCTCCTAATCCCAATATAATTCCCTATCTACTATAATTAGGTATCCTTCCGTTTCTAAGTCCTTACTTCCTTTCCCGCCCTTTTGTAACGATTGCCTCCATTTATAATTTAATATAGAAGTTCGGTATTTCCCGATTTATTAGCTTCTTTACCCGCCTTAATATTAATATTAATAGTATTAGTAGTATTAAAATTATTATTACTATTATTATAACTATTTTAACCTACCTTCTTTTTCTTAATACTTTTAAGAATAGGGTTAATCTTTATACCTTCGATACCGCTTTTACCGTTACTAATATTAATAAAATTCTAGTATTTTTTCTAATTATAGTTAATTTTACCGTAATATTAATATTTACCTAATTCCTAATATTTCTTCTATAAGGCTTAGGGTACTAGGTATTTATTAATAACTTTAAATTTATTTAAATCTATAAGGTCACTACTTTGAAATATAGTTTTATTCTCAAAATTACCTCCCTTATTATTATTAATATTATTATTAGAAATTAAATTAAATATCTTCTTTTAAAAAGCCTCTTCCTCCTATCATTTAACTAATTTACTAAATAATATAAATTATCCTTAGAAATCTTCGCTACCGGGCACATCGGATTAATAAATTACTAAAATTTTAAATTAATCTATAACCTTCTAGTAAAATAAAAATATACGTATAGTATTACTTATACTATAGCGGTCGGCGTTTAGAACGAATTTGTTAGCGAAGTCCTAGAACAATAATTTTATTTAAAGCTTCTATAAAGTACGGTTAGCTTCTATTTTTATATCTATAGTATTATACCGGTTATTAAAGTATTTAACTAATTCTTCGGCCGTTTTCCACTTTTATAATTCAGGGTGTTCGTTAGCGAGAATCGTCTATATATCCAATTCGATAATAAATATAGGAGTCTTACCTAAGTATACAAAGATATATATAAATTTATCACATTCGGTAGGGAAGTACCATCTATTATAGGCCCAATATAAGCGAATTTTAGTACGCTAAATTGTATAGGCTACGTTACAATCCTTAGGATTCGAATTAGAAGTATCGAACACCTCTAAGTCGGTAGATATATAACGTCGTATACCGTTAGTAAACTCAGTATAACTAACGTTAGCCGGAGTTCCACTATTATTATTACCTCTACCGCCGAATCCTCCGCCGCCGAATCCTCTACTATTACCGTTATTTAAACTGTCCGGGTTAATAGCGTTCAGATTTTTAACTATAATATTAAGGCCGTCGTTAACCGTCTAAAGCGTAATAACCTTATCCTATAGGGAGCGAATTTGTACCTTAAAAATAACGTTATTATTAAGAAACTTTATTATTTTAACGTTATAATTAATATACTTTACCTCCTTAACTTTAAATTTATTAAACCATCCCTCCGCTTTAATTCTCTAATAAATAATATTATTTTAGAGGCTTCTATTTACTTAAATATAAATCCATTTATCTACCTCCTTCCGGAATATATCCTAATAATAACTATCCCTAACCTAATTAAAGGCCTCGGTAATAACGTTAATAATAGCGCCGAAAACTAAGAGTAGCGCTAGGTTAATAATATACTATCTAAAAATAATAGGGTATACGTAGACAGGGTCAGCTACCTAAAGCTTATTATAAAGGTAGGCCCAAAAGACTTAATAGTATTAATCATCGCTATTGAATTGCATAACTAGTATCGCCAATTCGTTATCGGTAATTAATTCATCGGAGGGGTCCGGTTAAACACTAATTCTCGGGAATGTAAATTCCGGGCTATAAAAATTGAAACCCAATAGATAATTAGAGGGGGAACCTACGAACCTTACTCAACAAGGATAAATTAGTCTTCTACTATATTAAGGGTAAATACTATCGCTTAATTGATAATAAAGACTTTGCCTAGGAGGTTAGGATAATTATTAAGAATTAAAAACTTGGTCTCGGTATTAATATAATTATTAATAATCGACTTAGTATCGTTATTATTCTCTAAGTAATTAAAATAGCCTTAGCTAGTAATTATAATAATTAAAATTGAGTTTGTATAGTAGCTATAATAATTATCGAAGTTATTTATAATATTCTATATCCTATAAAGGCTAAACGTCGAATTAATTAATTAATTAATTACTAGCCCGCTGGTTACGATGATAAATACCTTATTATACGCGCGTAACACGATCTTGAAGGTATAATAAACTATTACGGGGCAAGGGTACCGTTAGGGGTAAGCTACGATATTTGTTATTGTACGAAGGAAGCTAGAGGAGAGTATGCGCTAGCTTGGGCTTATAGGTAGGGTTGTGTAGCCCGGTAGAGTGGGTCACACAGAGCCTCAATACCCGGGCCGGCACCAGTGCCATAGCAAGGCACAGAGCACGTGATCTGTTGTGCCATAGCCTGGCACAGGGCATGTGATCTAGCCCTGTGACAATTAATACGCTTAATAGTTAAATACTCGGCAAAAATTTTACTACGAGCCTCATTAGTAATACGGGCGATATATAACTAAATAAAATTATACGTAACCTTAAAATCTCTATTAATTCTATTCCAACTATTAATATTTAAGGTAATAGTAATATTAGTATTCTTAAAAGTAGAGAGTAGAATCTTATTAATATTAATATATCTTATTTACTAAATATTATACTTCGTGGGCTTAATTACTTTCTTAAACTCCGGAATTATCTTAAAAATATAATTAGCGAATTAGAAACAATCAAACTCAACTATAAATCCCTATTACTAATTAGCAATATTCTAATCGCTAAAAAAGGGAATTAGCAACGAATTAATAATTATTATAAGTATAGGAAGGTTAAATATATTAAAAAGAAGAAAAAGAGTAGGTATCGCTAAACTAACTACTATTTAATTTAATTAATTCAATAATAAAATCGCTTAAATCGCTTAATTCAATAATAGGTTTAATTAAATCAATAACTAATTCAATAGAAGGGTCGCTATACAACAAATATTAACGAGAATCTTTATATAGCAAAGCTAATTTATAGGCGAACAGGCGAATCATTAAATCAACGAGGGTCGCAATTACTTCTTTTAACCCGGTACTGCAGCGCCTTATTAAAATTAGCAATTAAAACCAACGATACGCTTTAAGGATACACTTATCGCTTATCAAATGCAATCACAGGGAAGGTTAGAGAGGGTTCATAACCTGTGGGATCACCAACGAGATCAAGCGGTTAGATACGATTAATTAAGTGCTATAGAGAAGAAAGAGGAAGAGGGAGACTAGCCGAGTCTGGAAGGCTAGATATAGTGCGGTCTGGGCAGGGCACAGAGTGGGGACTGGGCTGTGCCCAGTACTATGCCCAGTGAATGCCAGAGACCCACCAACAACTATTCGGCACATATAGCTCTCTAGGAATAGGCCAAGTTAATAGTTCTCTTCTTCTTGCATTCATTCCAGATCCTACTCTTCCCATGTGAGCGATGATAGGTCTACCCCCACTCATTGTCTTCCCTATACTCAGTCCCATGCTGAATGGCTGGCAACCCAACCATTATACTTCTTCCCTGGCAGCACCCCTATCTACTTCCGTCCCTTCCATCTACCATTCTAAACTAGAGAACTCCAAAACACCAACCTCTTCCGCTCGACATCCAACCCTTCCCGCGGAAGTGCCCTCACCCTCGTCTCCCCAACCACCAACTCCCTCCTCCCCTTCACCAGCTCCTTGAACACTTCACCCCACCCATCCCTACTCATCTCCACATCCGCCCAGTCGATCTCTTCCACCTCCAGAAGCCTAAAGAGTCCAATAAATTGCTCCGCCTTCCTCGACAACACCGGTCCTTGACACCAACTCCTTCCCTGATCCCTGCTTCCGGCATGCTGAGCGCGAATTCTCCACTGTATGTAGAAGAACTTCAGGAATTCCCTTCAAGATGATTTGGTCGTCGGTCGCTTGAACTACGCCGGTTGGGTTGCACCAGAGCATTTGATCGCGGATGTATCGACGAAGCTCCTCGCGCTCAGGAGGGAAGGTGATGGTGGATTGGATGCGTTCTTCCCAGGGCATGAACCAGCGGTTGCCGACAGGACTAAGGAGACGGCGATGATTGACAATGGGTCGGATGGTGATGTGGGGTTGGCCATCACGCTCGCTGATGACGAATTGTACGGTTATCTTGAGGCCAGGAACGGGCTGAGGGGGTTGCAAATTAGTGCTGTAGGACATTGTCTAGTTAATCTTGGTCTGCTAGGTGTCGTTGTTACCTCCGGTGTTTGAAAGGGGTCTGGTAAGTGGCCTGTAAGGTTTGATCATTTATGCCGTACTGAATACCGGTTCTTCAGCCCATGCGTCTGTTGAACTGTCACTCATTTTCGTAGTAGTGTCTGTGGGACGGTGGGCGCTGGGGTCTGCGTGCACTACTAACACGGGAATGAGTCTTGAGGTAGAGAGGATGATTAGCCATCTCGACTAGAGACAACAATGGATATGCTAGCCGGTGACGCATAAGGGCGGCGTATAGCGGTAATGTTGATGTACATAGTGCCTTGCATTGTGCGTCCGTGACTCTGCAACATCGTAAAAGAGCAGCTATTGTGCGCAATCAGTGACAACGCGAAGCGAGGAATTGAGTCATGAAGAACAGAGATGAGATGTCAATTTTGACGGGAATTGACCCATAGCTAAACAAACGCCAGAATTGAGTATCAGAGAAATGCAAATCATGCCCCCCCGCCACAGCCCATAAAACGTAGCATGTAGAGAAAAGGAACGAGTGTTGCCCTGCAACACAGAAGAGAAGAATCGGTCGTTGTCAACGCCGCGCGGACTTTTTCAGACTTGCTGTGCCGGAGTCATATCCTCTATTGGTCCTTGGCCTTCTTGCCCTTGGCGAGATAGCTGTGCAGTCAATGTTAGCATTCTGGAAGATTTTAGGGTAATTGCATTGAGGTAACTTACCTGCTGAATACACTCTCAAAGACGGCGACAGCGGCGAGGATGCCAGCACCCCGGCCAGCATGCTGCCATGTGAACTGCCTGCGGTCGTAAAGACCCCAAGCCCTGTAGCCGAGCCATCCACTCAGACCAACAACGGCCAAGAGGTTGACGGCAGCGAGAGCACCGGTGGTACCATCGCTCAAGCTGGCGAACTGCTTGGTCAACCAGTTGTCGGCCTTCTTGGCCTTGCTCTTGGCCTTCTTCTTCGCAAGGTCGGCTTCAGCGCGGGCCTTGGCCTTGGCTCTTTCGGCCTCCTCCTTGGCTGCTTGTTCCTCCTGCTCAAGGCGGGTGGCCTGGGTCTCGGTCTGAATTTCCTGCTCTTGGAAGTCGGAAGGGACGGTATGGACTGAAGGAGTATCAACGTCGATCAGGGAAGAAGTGGAGGTAGACTCGTCAACCTCGATCTGGGGAGGGAGAGGGGCAGCAGCCTGAGAAAAAAGAACATGTCAGAATTGTTATTTTCATGGCGCAACGAGTCAATTGCGACATCATTGCTAAGCGCGTTGCTGAGGAGAGCAGGTGCAGCGAGAACTTACCTCCTCGGGAGTCTGCTTGGGGCCCTTGGCAGCAATCTCAGCGTAAGACACTGTCGCGAATGGTGGTTAGCTATGTTCTCGAAATTGTCGCATGGTCCAAGTCCCGGGCAGATATGCCGCGCAAGGACACAGAGGAGAAAGGTATTGGACTTACTGTTGTCTGGTGGTGGTAGAGGTGTTGTATGTGGTGGTTAGAGGTGAGGCGACGTCGAATCTCTTATTCTTGGATGTTGTTGAAGTTCAATGGTGGTGATCTGGGGAAGGGAAGCTCTTTGGAGTTGACGGCCGAAAGGATTTGTATTTAGGGACGAACAAGCACGGGATTGGATGAGCGGCGTGAGGTCACCTCGTCAACCAAGGAACTTGGAGAAGGGGAGGATTCAACTTGGTCAAAGCTTGGCAACGTCGGTTCGGTTAGTAGAACGACTCAAGTTATGCAAACGGCCTTACGGCCCAAATTGGAACAGGCATATCCACGATCCATCTCTAGAGGTATTAATGTCAGGTCAGTCTGGCAGTCACAGATGCAATGCCACGTGCCTGCTTGACTTTTCCTTTGAACAAAGAGTCTAATGCTGGCTGCAAATCGTAGTGCATTACTTACAGGTGACAGCGCATGAACGGGGAGCTTCAATTCGTAAACGGTGACGCAACTGGATGGGCCCCGGAGTCAAGCGAAGGTCATCTCACCACCCCGGAAAACAGGGCGACAGGCCCCAAAAACAACCCCGCTGCCCCGCTATACCCACTAAAAATCCCCCAAAATGGAAGCCAGCACAGCTGAGCACCCATGTCGCAAATGACGTCTGCGGCTCCGCTAGCACGCTTTTTTAGCTTCCAAGCCTCCGATCCAAGCAACGCGAAGCTGCTCGCGACTTGGAGAATGTCAACATGGAAAAGTTCCCCTGGCATGGGAAGACGGCGAAAAGTCCCAAGGTGTCAATTGTGTTTGTTGAGGCTGAACTGGTTCCTGATCAGCTTGCCATTCTCCGGTTTCCCCTCGAAGACGGCCCGTTTCAAATGATCACCTACCTGTATGAGCTATTCTACATAGGCAACGGAGGCCCTCCGTCGACAGCAACACTTCCTACTAAGGCTTGAGCATGGGATATGTCTATTTTGCGCTTGCATTACATGGTATGAATACACAAAGTCGTACATTGCCCTTCAAAAGCGTAAGGCAAACCAACCTCAACCCTCTCGCATGCGCCTCTGAACTCCCATTATCCCAGATGATGCTAGCAGCCAGTCGCTGACTGCGGTCGCCGTCATTGCGCCTGTCTTCTCCCTTTTTTCCTCTCTCCCTCTATGCCATGTGTCAAATCGTACAGAGCAGTGGTGCCAAAAGCTGTAGACATAGCAGCAACAGGCCAGCTATGTGTGGTTGGTCATTGTTCGTAATCTGTTTATTTATTACTGCTTCTTGTTGTTGTTGGCAGCGGTAGCATCGTGGGTAGCGGTCTCGAGAGCCTCCTCCTTCTTGTTCTCGACAGGCTCCTCCTTGGCGGGGGTGCCCTCGGCGGCGGGGGCAGCGGCAGAGGCGCGCTCAGCCTCCTCATCGTCAGCTAGTTCGGCGCCGTAGACCTCGGGGTACTTGCGGAAGCAGTCCTGCATGTGACTGTCGGCTAGTTAGCTTGCAATGCTCCATCTTGATTTTTGACTGGACAAGAACCCTCGGCGACAGCTCTGGGTACCTACGAGAACTTCTCAATGCAGTCCATGCCCTTGGGCTCCTCAGTGGAGTAGACGAAGCAGCTGAAAGCAGCCTTGAACTCCTCGCCGCAAGGGCCGTGAGCCATGCCGCCCAGGCACGGGCAGTCCCAGTTGATCTCGCCGGTCTCGGGGTTGAAGGCGCCCTGGGCATCGGCCTCCTCCTGGAGAGCCTCAGGGGAGGCGCCAGCCTCGGGGATGACACCCTCGGTGGACTCGGACTTGGGCTTGGAATCGCCCTCGGGCACGGCCTCAGCCTCGGCCTCGGCCTTGGTGATCTGTTCCTCTACCGACTCGGAAGGTGTCGCCGGGGTGGCAGCGGCCTTGGCGGCAGCCTGGGCAGCCTTCCTGGCGGTAGCATGCTCGGCGGCCTGGCGTCTCTTCTCTTCGACAATGGCATCGACGGTGGGAAGGTCGGCGTCGGTCAGCTGGGAGGGGGCGGTACCGGCGGTCTCTGTGCGAGTTTGCCCATGTATTAGCATTGGCGCATTGTGTAGCTGTAGTCAATGACACGACGGTGAAGCCGGGCGTGCGCCACCAGGTAGCCATCATTAAAAGGGGCGCATACCGGGAAGCTCATCGGAGAAGATGGGGCTGGTGTTGTAGTAGTAGACAGCAGCGATGGCGAGACCCCATCGTACGGCGGCACCCTTCCATGTGCTCTTCTTGGGCGCGGAGGTTGTGGAGGCAAAGCGGCGGGCACCGGAGGAGACGAGGGCCGACGGGGAGGTGGTGGACCGGATTGCGCGCAATGCGCTTTGCGAGGGGCGGAGAGCCGTGCGGTACATTGTGTCGTCGTGATCGGTACTCGAAAATCAGAAAGACAGGCGCAAACGGTCGGAGCAGACGTCGGGGAAAACGAGGGTCGGATGGTGCTTCCGCAGCTCCGCGGGTCCGGGAATCAAGAGGTTTGTCATCACTTCTCGGATTCAACCCACGTCGACCCGACAAAATTTCTGGCGATGCTCCAGTGCAGGCCGACCGCCGACCGACCGGGCGGGCCAGGGCGTTAATTGGTCACACCCGCTTAAAAGTGGCACCCGCGTCCAGGAGAATGTCATTGTCTGAAGCATGTGCAACAGATGAAATTGGAGACGAGAACCTCAAATACAGGCCGAAAGTGTACTGCTGATCAAGAGATGAGTGGGCTTTTGGTTCTCATCGTTTGATGATACAACGTTTATACAGGAGCATGGCAGAAAGTCTCGAGGCAGCAAGAGACTCCCAAGTTCTTGACTTACACTTCATCTCTATCCTTTCTAGAGGGTTGGGGTTGGGGTTGTCTATGTGTGTAGCACATGAAGCTATTCCAAGCTCAACCTTCACCAATGATTGCTGCTGCTTATCGAAACATTTCTACCAAGCTATCAAGAATTGTGGGAAAAATAAGCGAGAAAAATACTTTGAAGCTGGCACGAGACTCTACATGATAGCAGACGAAGTCATGGATATAGAGTTCGAGGTTTTCCGACGTTAACAGTTGACAGTCTTCTAGAACATCGGTGCTGGTCCGATCCCCACAGCATGCTGTAACGCCGGACAGCCCATCGGAAGCGCCGAACGGGTACCGAGTCGGAAGCAAGCAAAGACACACGTCCACAACTTCACCAAAATCCAACATCAGCCACGACTAACCTAAGACATATCAATGCTTGGTTTTGGATTAAAGTTCATACCTACAAAGCTTCCTTTAATTAACCGCATATTCATCTCCTTTCACGTTTCCCGTTGTCGCACAGTTACTGCCCTGCCTGACCTCACGTTCACCACCACTAGAGGTACCCAGCTCTTTCAGCTGAACAACTACAGAGGGCGTGCAATACATTCGAACGAAACCATGGGCACAACCAACGGCGCCACGAAGACAACTGGGGCGCTCGACGAGGGCCACATTTTCGAATGGTATCCCCTTGATCTAGTACGGGATTATGAGCAGCAGAAGCAACATGACCACCATAATGGTCAATTGCACAATGGCTCCAATGGAACCACTCACAAGCCCGAACAATTCGCACTAGTCGTCCTCAATCAGCCACTTACTCATTTGGGTTTGGTGAAGCGTCTATGGAAGAACGGTATGCCAATTTGAACGATCAATGCAGACAAAAAGAAACGGGTGTTGACATTCAACTTGCTCAAAAGCATCTATCCGCGTTGCTGCCGACGGAGGCGCAAACTGTCTGTATGATGTCGCCGGCAAGAATGGCGATCATGACTTTGTAAGTCCATCACTTTTCGTTCTTAAACATCTCATTAACACCCCATTTCAAGGACGACCTCACAGCAATAATAGGCGACCTCGACTCCCTCACCACCGAAACCCGCACCTACTTCACCACCCACTCCTCTTCCCCCACTGCCAGCCAAACTGCAATCATCCACGAACCCAGCCAATACTCAACCGACTTTGCCAAGTCCGTTGACTACCTCCGCGGCCCCTCTTGCTCCAAACCCGACGCGCCACCCCCGGACATCGTCGCCATCGGCGGTCTCGGCGGCCGCGTCGACCAGGGCCTCTCCCAGCTTCACCACCTCTACCTCTTCCAGTCCTCGCCCACCTATGCCGACGGGAGGATGTACCTTTTCAGCGGGGAATCGCTCACTTTCCTGCTTAAATCGGGAACCCATCGCATCCGGGTGCGTGAGCCAGGCCAGGCGAATCAACCGGAGAAAGACGTGTTCGCCAAGTGGGTGGGGATCCTACCGGTCAAAGAGCCGAGCAGGATCTGGACGAAAGGATTGGAGTGGGATGTGGAGGATTGGCCGACTGAGTTTGGCGGGCAGGTCAGCACGAGCAATCATGTCTTGCCGGAGACGGAGGTGGTGGAGGTTAGGGCGACGAAGGATGTCTTGTTTACTATTGCGCTGAGGGACCTTTAGGGGGTGTCCTTTGGTGTGGTGGGGAGGAGACGCATGACGGGGGATTGGTTGGGTAGTTGGGTATAAGTTATAACCTCGAGGAGAGGAGAGGCCCGACTCGACCACCCGCGAGGAAAGATCAGAGGTGTGTATAGAGGGTACTCTGCTGTCAAACAACTACTGTTCCGGTCATTTTTTTCTGCGTCCCGTACATGGTGGATGAAGGGAAAGGGCATATGGTACCTCTGTTTGAATTGTTCACGCATTGCTGCCCATGATATTAGACCATGTTTGTTTAGTTAAAAAGTAAACCAGACCAAGCCCAACACCCAAAACTCCGCGCTTGATGACTGTAAGACAGATGCCGCCGTCGCCGGGCCCCATGCCGCAATCTGAACGGACCTTCGCTAAGAGTCCTCCTCCACCGCTAATAAGATAACCCATCAACAATTAGTCCCGTCTGTCTCTTTTCTTTTTTCCTTTCCCAAAAGACCCATGTTTCGATACCAACGCAGCAACAAGCAAAGCTCACCTCAAATAATGCAATACCAACCAACAGAACAAGAAGAAAACCACCACGCCTCCCCAAAAGATCCACTTATCCTGCTTCGCCCTCCGCTCAATCATCCTGATCGTATCGCCACTGATCCCCAGCGTGTTGCCAACCGAGTACAGCTTCCGCTGCGTATTCTTCATAATTTCCCTCTGCTGATTCAGATCCCCCAGCACCGCCTGGCCCCGCGCAATGTAATCGTCGAGCGCCGAGTGCGTGCTCCTAAAGAAATCCTGCTCTCTCAGCGCATGCTGCTCGCGGCTCGCGTCCCCGGAGCCCAGTATGCCGCTGTTGCTCTGCATTCTCCCCGACTCCGCCAAGCTATTCGTCCTGGCATGCGATATTCCATACCCTCCACCACCCGTAGCGCTGCTTGTCGCCGTCGCACTAGCACTCGCATACGGATTCTCAGGCGTACTAGCCACAAACGGCCTGCGTCCCAACAGCTCGGCGCGGTTCTGCGCGTGCATGTGTTCCTCGCGCTTGGATTTCAGAGAGTCCAGCTGCGTGCGGAAGTCGTGCAGCTCGGACCGGAAGTTGCGTATCCTCTCGTAGGCCTTTTCTTGCTTGGCGGCGTTGAGCTCCTGCTTGGCGAGGTGGTTGTATTCGTCAATGGTCCGGTTGAAGGCGGTTAAGGAGGCCGAGAGGGAGCCCAAAGCGGCGGGCGTGAGAGAGGTCGGGTCGAGCTCGTGCGAGGAGAGGGCGGCGAGGTCCTTGCGGATGGAGGTGCTCTGCTTGAGAGCCGAGTTGAAGGTTGTGTTCTAGAAGAAAGGAGGGAGGAGATGTTAGTTCATGATAGTAGTGTAAGGCCCATGAGAAGGGAACGGTGATGGTGCTTGTTGCTGGAGTGCCGTGCTGGTTGACTGACCATGTTGGCCTGACTTTCAGGGGTTCATGCGACAGTTGCTGAGCTTCGAAGCCAGACAACTTAAGCAAGCAGCAATGCTCCTCGTTGATGAGAAATGAAGTGAAGAGAGTATTGTGTTAATAGAAGCTATAGTAGATGGGTTACAAAACGATGGATACCCAGAGTAGAACGGTGTAGCTTCAAGCTATTGTCAAATGCTTCTGGAAGCTTTGCAAGGTGGCATCTGCAATCGTTAAGAGTTGCGATTTGGACGGGAGTCTGGGATGCTTGCTCGTGGCTGTCTTGGCGGCTGCAGTTTAGCGCCGCGGGTAGGGTGCATCTAGTGTAATAGTTAGCTTCCGCCGGGTCTGGGCGCAAGTGGGTTTTGTGGGGAACTGTCCACAGTGGAGGAAAGGAATCGAGGAGGGTTTCCTTTTTCTGCTCTTCCACGTCAACCCCGACCTCACCATCCTTCTTCAACAAGTGCCAATCACACCAGAAGACACCAATCAAGAGGGCGTCCATATACGATGCAAAGACGCTCAGAAACTCAAGCATGAGCCTGCAGGACCGCGTCAAACCTCCTTACAGCTGCCCGTATGACATGTCATGCGCATCATCCTATGTTGGCACCACTTCGAGGACCAGGAATTGGCCAATCACTAGCCAGATCCAGCGATATACGGAGGAGGGACTCTTGATGAACCTCCCTTGAGCTTGACATGGTTCTCTGGACTCCACTCTAGCAGTCCACGAAGCTGCCCAAAGGAGATTGACATACTCTCTTCGATCCACTGGCACCCCATGACTTACGGTATTGGAGTCAACATACGGATGCTCTGGATGAGTGTCAACACAAAACCAATCCGCCTTGGTCGCATTTTTCCGAGTCTCGTTATCCTACCGGAACGAGCAAGTCTTCGGCGCACGAGACTGTTGACCAGCGCCAAACGAACCAGTATACCAGGTTTCGGCATCACTCAGTTCGAGGTCGTCATGGTAGACGAAGACTGGGAAGTCGAAGAGGCTATTCTGAGTGTTGAGCCGCAGGTTGAAGTTGATGGCTGCCAAACTCACGTCGTCACCTGTGCAGGTTGTCGAGTTCAAAGCTACTGAGGACCCGTGAGGGAGAGACGACAGGAGAGATGGTGCAACCGTATACGATCGGGATCGGATCTTCGATAGAGGAGGGGGCGTTGCTGAGAGGGCTTGGCCTTGAGCGGAGACACTGTCGGCTTGACAGTACGTGGCTTTCGACTCATACTGAACGTCAGAGGGAGAGTGGTGCTTCCTGTGCCTGCGATGCTTGCTCTATGGAGTCCTCGGGGTTAGCAGCCTTTTTCGACCGAAAAAGACGGCCGATAAACCAACGGCTTTGCAGAATCCACATTGTCACATTACCACGTTTCGTTGCTCTCAAACCTCTAGCTTCTCGGGAAAAATACGGCATCTGTTATCTAGGTGTTATACCGACTCTTGCGATCTGTACGCCCGCTGCAGTTAATCCGAAGACGTGGATCCTCTCCCGCGTCAGCCAGAAAGTAGTTCAGGCAACCGACTACATGCACCGTGGCTTCATTGGTGACTTGGAACTGGATTGACTGAGTCTGAATGACAGAAGATCCGTCTCCAGTCTCGTTGATGATGATGGTTCCTAGTGTCCATTTTGGCGTTTTGGAAAGGGCACCACGGCCTGGAATTTTGTGCTCCGGCGGTCCCTCGGCGTATGCAGGCGTGATCGCATCAGGTCTTGAAAGCGAGCTCTTCACCAAGTCCACTGGGTTGGACGATTTGCACGTATCGCCGCCACAAATCTGAGAAATAGATGAGTTGCCAGATGCCCTGTGTGCAACCCGTTATCTGCTTGACATACGGACTGATGGACGCCATACGCTTTCGGAGTCGTTCTGTCATTGCAGTACCACGATGCATCTCCATGGACGATAGCGGTAGTTGCTTTGAGCTCGACTGCTCCAGCAACTGTCAGTTAATGTCCCGGGCCGGAGGCAATGCAAGTGCCATTTTTTGCTTGACGTCCTATGTCCAGAGTATAGTTGGTTGCTCTGTTTACGCGGTTGTAAGGCTCATGATGTTCGGCACGATTGGCGGTGAAATCTTGGTAGAACCAACTTGAGACGGTGAAGGGACTGGCGGTACAGCCACCGGGAGCGGGCTGACTTTGTATCAGTGCACTCGCGGCTGCGAAAGTGAGGAGAGATATCGACCTGAGTATGGCCACCATGATGAACTTTGTCTCAAAACACCTTGACCAGCCGCGCTTACTGGGCAAGGCGGTTGGCGATGACAGTAGCTTGATGGGCGAAGCAATCAACGTGAGCAGGCGTCGAAGAGCAAAGCTTCACGGCTTGTGCCGTCTCATATTCCCAGATGCCGCTTTCCATCTCGATGTTCTCCCAGTCATCACATGCATGCTACCGAATGCACATCAAAGCCCCACGGACACTCTCCTCATTGAAGGCAGACGGGAAGCTGTTGTGGATGAGAGAAAAGAGGGAGCATTGTCACCCCAATTGTATCCACATCCACTCTTAGTATCTTTACAACAGAGGAACCAAGGCATCTTCAGACCAGAAAAGGTACAGGTAAGGTACTTTGACATTAAGAGTCATAAAGAGATAAGCGGGAGTGGTACATTGCTGTACCTACTCTCAAGAAGGATGACGTACCGCTGACTACTCACTAGGCACGTGATAGTCTCCGATAGACTCCGATCACGACTCATGCCCAATTCGGAAGGAGTCGATCGACAACAACCAGTCACAACTTGAACACAACCACTAGCCTCCGATTTCGGGCCCTAGCAGCAACCGTTGCAGTTGATAGATAGATACGCTCCTTCCGCGATTACGTTCTTGACATAGTCAGTCTTCCATTAATCGCGAGGAAGATTGTCTCTGTTCCGGCAAGCACGGCCAGATCTCGAACAAGAACCGCAATTTCTGGCAAAGTCAGCCGCAACTGCGTTCGATAATCCTCCTTCCTCGGCCATTTCCATCCTGCCGCGTACTTTTCCTCCTTTTACACCCTTTCACTCGCATTTGGGCGCCTTTCTGCCCATTAGCGATCCGAGCCGAAGTCCATCAGATGAAGCTATTCCCTTTCCCTTTCAGTTCACGAACGAGCGTCTCATTATGCGGCATTTCCCAGACACCACTGCAGTGAGAGAGCCGCCCTCCTCCTCAAAGCATCGACAGCAAGAAATATCCTTCATGCCAGCTTTCCTTTTATCCTGATGAGCGTCTTCGCTCAACATTACGATCAAGTTGCTTGTCTCTGCCGATAGTTCGTACCAGAGGCACCGGGAATAACCAATGTCCATATGTTGTTGACAACTGCCTCCCATGGCTCCCGCCCAGGGCATGACGGCTCTCAATCGTTGCTCTCGAGTCCCTATAGCCTCGGCTATCAGTGTTCTTTGGTCAAGTGACCGGATACTGGGAATCCTGTCACTCCCGTCCAGGTCAGTGAATGGTGTGTCAAACCCTTCAGCAGATGCTGACAATGATTCACAGTTGGGCTCTATTCAAAGCATTTCTTCCTCCCTGCCATAACTGCCGTCGAGAGATGCGATTTCCAAGTGCCAATCGCTGCGAGATTGCGGCGCAGAAGCTTTGAAAGCGAAGCGCAAAATATGCGTCAACGTTGCCAAGTCCCTTGAAGACCAAGGAAGCTATAAGTAACTCATCAAGTTTGCTTTTTGTATCAAGGTACCTTGAGGGCATGACTGAGGTGTGATTGTCAAGAAGAGCTTGTCCAGTGACTAGCAGCTACCAGGGCCTTTAGCATTCTGTGATTAGCTCAGCTTCGCTTTGAAACGACAATCAGCACAATGGAACATCTCAGCTTCAGCCTTATGTCAATACGAACCGTCACGCCATTACCCCAAAATATCGACGACCATCAACGAAACCAGCGGTGGAGTCATAAATCAGAAAACATGGACAAGCCGACATTGCCAACGGACGAATTGCTGCGCTGTGGTTGCTGGCAGTCATCGTGATCGCCAAGTTTGGGGGGTTCCCAAACCTCCTTCCTAGCCTGGGGGCTGCGGCACAAACAAGAGCAATTCGTCAGAAGAGCCAAGAATTCATCCATGACGACAATTTATCAAAGGATGTGATGGCGATATCTTGGCCATATCGTCAGGCTGTTTTCAGGAACTAGGGGGGTGGGTTGGGGTATCTGCGTCGCACGGGCCACGCGGCATGCTTTTCCCCATGGTGGACCTCGTCGTTGAGAACTTCAGATGCGACATCATGGGGATTTCTTTATGACGCTTTCACGACACATATAAGATCATCTCCCCCAGATCTTCAATTCAACCTTGGGGCTCTCATCTTCATGTTTTGCTGGGTCAATGACCACGCCTTGGGGGATGAGATTGGGATCCATGGACAGGGGAAGGACACGGGAAGGCACCACCCCTTTCGCTCTTCTCAATTGTCGCATGTCTTCTGATGGGTCGACTGGGCATCGGGATACCCTGATACAAGGAAAAAAGAAAACGGCCGCGTTGTCGTCGACTCACAAGAGGGTGGCATGTCCGATGTGTGGCGATGGCCCTGAATTCCAGTATCAGGTACCAGCCCCGGGATTCCAGAAAAAGATCCAGCTGGTTGCATTGCATTGGCTCCTATGGCTGTTGCCGCAATTCTTGGCCCCGAGCACGACATCGACACATTTTTCCATTTTGTGGGCCATGCCCATCCATTGCCTGTTGCATGCGGCGATTGGGAAGCCCCACAGGACCCAGAATCCACCCTTGTCTCGGCCTTTGTTGCCTTCGACTGCATCACATCCCGCAACTCATCAGGATCCCTTTTCGAATCCCACGCCAACACTGTCTTGGCGACGCCGGCGAAGCTTCTTGGATGCCGTACGGAATACGGGACCAAGACAGGACTCCCAAGCCAACGAATCTCGAGAAACCTGCCTTCCTGATCGAGGTTATCATTGCGTAAAAGCCGTCAGCCTTGCGTCTCTCTGGGCATCGAATGCATAGGGGTTGTTGCACGCTACGCACTAGGGCAAGGTTAGACCGATGAGCTTGGAAAGGTGTCCGATGGCGTGCGGCTCATTGTTGCATGTTGCATCCACCGAAGGCAACTTTAGCAGGTTGCCCTTACCGAGAACCACAGCGGTTTTGGGTCCACCTCCGAAAGCTTCTCGGAGGTCTGGGGTGCCTTGGGATTTTACCACAATGTCGCCATGGGATGGCACCAGGATCGATCCCTGCGAGCTGGGCACACCCACGCTACCCCGAGCTTTATATCAAAAGCTCGCAACTTATAAACAGGCCTTCGCCCTCTGATTAGCCTCTTCTCTTCATAGTCATCTACATCAACCAAATCGTCAACAACCCTACCAGGGCCGAAGGGCAACAACACACATTATGGGTTCTTTTGACAAATCCTCCGACCCGGAGGCTGTCAAGACCGCCCCTGTGGCGGTTAGCGACAATGATGGCTCCGTCGGTGAGGTCCAAGCAGCTGAGAAGTTCGCCTTTGGCGAAGACCGAAAGATTGGCATCACCGGCGCCGTCTTCTTGATTCTCAACAAGATGATTGGTACCGGTATCTTCTCGACCCCTTCCGCCATTTTTGCCGCTACGGGCTCCGTCGGTGTCAGTCTGTTCCTTTGGATTATTGGTAAGTTGGAAGTTCTTACCGATCTTACTTCAGCCATACAGTTGGGGGAAATTTCCAGCTTGCTGAGACCTGTCATCTCTCACTTGGGGGCTACTCCGTTCTAACCATATATCCACATAGGTGGCTTCTTGACCTGCTGCGGTCTCAGCGTCTGGCTCGAATTTGGTCTTGCTATTCCTCGCTCCGGTGGTGAGAAGAACTACCTCGAGTACATCTACAAGCACCCCAAGTACCTCGCCTCCTGTGTCCTCGCCGCGCAGATGATTTTTCTCGGTTTCTCTTCCGGAAACTCGCTCGCCTTCGGTCGCTACATCCTTTACGCCAACAGCGGAGATTCAAAAGACAGCTACGCAGCTCGCGGTATTGGTGTCGCCTGCGCTACCTTTGCCTGCGCCCTGCACGCCTTCCTTCCTAAGTGGGGTGTCCGCTTGGTCAATGTCCTTGGCATCTTCAAGGTCGTCATCGTACTTTTCATCGTCTTCGCTGGTTTTGCCGCCCTAGCTGGCCATCGCCACGTCCCCGATCCCGAGAACTTCAAGCACGCCTTCCGCATTGAAACGACCGAGTCCTACGGTGGTGGCGGTGCTTATGCTTACTCCAACGCCCTGCTCAACATTGTCTACAGCTACAAGGGTTGGGAAAACGCCAACTATTTTATGAGCGAACTCAAGGATCCTCGCCGTACCTTGACCGTCGCCGCTCCTATCGCCGTTGCCGGTGTCACTGTTCTCTACGTCTTGGCCAACGTTGCCTACTTCGCTGCTGTCTCCAAATACGAGATTGCTACTTCCGAGGTTCTTGTCGCTGGTATTTTCTTCAGAAACGTTTTCGGTGACAGCGCTGGTGTTAAGGCCCTTCCCGTTTTCGTCGCCCTCAGCAACTTGGGCAACGTCTTGGCTGTCTCTTTCGCCCACGCTCGTCTCAACCAGGAGTTGGGCAAGGAGGGTTTGCTTCCTCTTAGCAAATTTTGGGGCTCCAACAAGCCTTGCAATGCTCCTGCAGCTTCACTTTTCCTGCACTGGCTTGTCACTATTATTATCTTGCTTGCTCCTCCTCCTGGACCTGCCTATAACTTCCTGGTCAACCTCTACACGTACCCCGGTGTTTGGATCAACGGTTTCGTTTCAGGCGGTCTCCTCTACCTCCACTTCTTCCGGAGAGACACCTGGAAGCCCACGTGGCGCTGCTGGGAGCCTATCCTCCTCATCTTCTTCCTTCTCAACGTCTTCTTGGCTGTCGTCCCCTTCATCCCCCCTGTTGGAGACTGGAACGCCGAGGGCTACCCCTACTACGTCTTCCCCATTGTCGGTGTTGCCGTTCTGCTCCTTGGTGCCTCCTACTGGTTTATGTGGACCAAGTTCTGGCCCTGGGTTCGCGGACACAAGATCGTGGCGGAGAGATTCATCGACGAGGATGGCAATGAGGTCATCAGGTACAAGAAGATTAAGAAGGCATAAATGCTTTCTTATAGGGACACACTACTACACACACTACTACGGATCTAATGATGCTTTTTCTTTTGGGAGTAAACGGTTTTTTTTTTTGGTTGGAAGATACACCTGATTTTGGGCGGGCAGTTTTGTTTAAGATACCCTTGTTTATCACATGACTATCTTTATAGTATCTAATACCCCTATTCAACAGAGGGTCTGGCGATTTATTTGCCATTATAACTTTTGTTCCATTTTGATCGTGTTGCAAATGACAAAAATGCAGTATTGAGTGCTTTCCTGAAAACATCCTTGGCGTCCTCTGTCTGGATGGGAAATTGATGCTGAACAATGGTTTTTCTTTTTTGCTCACGTTTACCTAAACCTTTCCAAGATATCAAACAACATCCATGCTATGATCCGGGAATTGTCATCTCCTGGCTACTTCCAGTTTTCCAATTCAAGGCCCAAGCACGCAATTGCTCAAATTTTCAATTTTTTTTAGTGCGCACCTTGTCCCTTACGTCTCACCGCCTGGAACGTTGATCGACCCGGGAAACTGCCCGACACTAGCAAACGAACTAACTGCTCGGCGAACGGGTACCCAAAGTAGCATGGGTCCGCCTTGTCTCCGGGAACAGTCTAGCGCCAGGGTCCAGCGCTTACCCCTGAGAAGTGTAAACAGACGGACAGACTGAGCAAGGACCGACCCTACTTGGTGGTTTGGGATGGGATGAATGGGATGAGATAAATCGGATGGATGGGATGGATGATGGATGCCAAGAGATCTTGATCTCATCTGATGTTGTTGTTGATCGGGTCAAGGTCAGGACCGGTCCGTTCGGGTGGGTGATCAATCGGTGCGTGGCAGTCAATCAGTGCAGGGCGCAGGCGCGTGGACTTTTTGAGGTTGTTGCGGAACGAGTAGGATAAGTACCTAAAGTTACGTTAGTTTTGGCGGTAGAAAGGTGCTAGAAAGAGGTTAGAACATGCGAAGGAAGATTGCTAGTTTAAGTTCAGCACGTGCACGAGCACGAAGTTCGGGTCTGGAAATTTGGAAGATCAGATTTAGTGGATGATTAGTGATGAGCAGCAGCTGCTTATGGAATAAGGTAGCGATGAGCAAACTGCAGCATTCCTGTATTGCAGTGCTTGCAAACTCTGATCCAAGGTTCATGCAAAGCTTTCTTTCGCAGGCACATCCGTCATCCTGATCACATCATCCCGAAGAGATTTCAGGTTCTCGAGTTGTTCCTTGCGGCTCACGTGTTCGCGTGTCGAATGGCTAGCTAGCCGTGACTCTGTGGGGGAAGATCTAGTGTACCGAGTGCGTGCGTTGCTATGGGAGATTCCAGGACTTAAAAGGTTGTCTCACACGTGCTTGCTTGGTCGAGGCTCTCGAGATACACTACAAAGCTAGGGAAGTCAGGATGGTTGGCGGATGGCAAAGTTCCGTTACCGGTATTTCTTAGGATTGGAACTAAGTGTCGTCGTCTGCCGAACTTTGGGAGATACTTGCTGCTGGGAGCTTTGACTCTGACTCGTGATTTGAGCGGAGCGGAGTTTGTGCCGCAGGATGACCATAAAAGTCGTGACGGGGATATCCCGTTCGGGGAGATGGCGTGAGCGGACGATATGTGCCGGGATCGGAGGTACACTCACTGCTAGTAGATGTGATGTTGGGAGACACATTTGTTGATTCGAAAATTATGAGGAAGGTCAGGGTGTTGGTGATGCAACACCCAAATAAGCTACAAGCTGGAAGAAAGGCACCGAAGTTTGAACTATAATTTATTTCCAGCTTGATTATATGACTGACTGTTGAAGACAAGGCGAGTGTCCCGTTGATACCTCTGGAATGGCTCGATAAGAGTCTGTAATGTATACCCGAAGAACCAATACAGATACCCGACCACGATGACAACCCGCACCGACAGCCGGTGACAATTGAAGATAAGATCTAAATAATCACTCTGATAGGTTGGCACTGACCTCTAAGGTAATTGTGGGGAGTTTCTCGTGTTAGTCTCCAAAGTTTAGAGTTTGCTAGTGGATTTCATGACAGTAGCTTTAAGAAGTTGAGGCTATTCGGGACCAATCAGGTAACATCTGTAACGAGGGAATGGAGACTAGAAAGTAAGAAGTGGAAAGTGGGAAATGGGAAATGGTAGAGATAAAGTACCTCCGGCTGTCGGGGAAGCAGAGAAGGTACCTCTGCTGGTGAGATGTCTTCTTGCCTTGGCACAACTTGTATCAAACCTCGTGGGAAGGAAGCCATCGTCAACACAGGTCTCGTGAACTTGAACAAGTGACAAAACTTCCAGTTGGCGTCGTTCTCAAATAGTAAAATAATATTCTTCTTCGACAGCAAAAAGTTCTGTGAGGTTAAGCCCAGCTAGAAACCATTGTCAAACTCAATCTTCCATTTCACCCAACGATGGTCTTCCCATACCGAAATAGCCGATCCGGCAATCGGACGACTAGCGCGGCAACACAAACGCAATCGGAAAGAAACATGACGGACCAGCCTCCGGTCGGCTTCCATTCTTCAGCCCCCTACCCGCTCGAGGACCATGTACACAGTACACTACAAACATTCACACACCATCGTTCGATAAGTGCCCCTGGGCAACACTCGCTGAGTGTGTATCCTGGCCTTTGACCGAGACTTGCCCGAGCTTGAAGCCATCCACCATCACTAAACTCCTCACTTCCCAGCCATCTTCAGATTACAAAAACATGTATGTAGCTACAAGCCGTTATTCCCGGCATCTCCACTAGCAAGGTAGTGAGCAGCTCACACCTCGCTACGTGCACTTGCTCGTCGATAGCCCGATGTCGGGATTCTGTTTCCTTTGTATGGAGTTTTAATCTGAAAACGGGGTGGGAGTGGAAGTTTAGCCTTGATCCCCGAACAGCCAAAAATCTGCTTTTCCCATGGATGCGTGTGCGGGTGCCCGCCTCGTAAACCGGTCAGGGTTGGCTTTGGTCTCAGCCTTTGGAGTGAATAACAAGGCTGATGAACTCCTGATACGGCTGGATGGATACGGTACCTCACTGGAGTATAAGTACGTATAGACTAGAAGACCGTGCCGTGTTGCTTCGCCATCACCATCACGGGTTGTGGAAAAGGGATGCAAAATGTATCCAGGTTACACTAACTTGGTATCCAGATACATGATAAACTGCAATTCCCTTCAAGACCAGTTTTTCCAGACAATTTGGGTCCCTACGCTAGCATGGAAAATATCCAACAATATTTTGATCCCCCAGAGAAAGGAAATTCGTCAATGGTATCGTAAGCAACAGCTTAATACCAAAACGAGGGGCTTCAAACTCGCCCTGTTCGGTCCCTTAATGCAGAGATAACTACAGGCGACCTTGATGATTTTTTGGATCCTGCAGGGAAACGAGGCAGCAGCCTATCAAGACTACCGCTCAATCATCCAAGCAGCATTTTTAGCTTGAAAAAAAAAAAAAAAAAAAAAAAAAAAAAAAAAAAAATACCCAACTAGATAGAGGTACCTTGCCGGATCTCGGCAGCAATCTGTCATCCCGAATTTCTCCTGTGTTTCCATGCCGTCGAAGCAACTCCAATGCTGATACCCCGACGCTGCGTGTTACCCTCGCCACCGGGAGTCCGGTAATCCGGAACTGATGCTGGTACATGGGCAATGACATGCGTACTGTAGTAGTTAGTGTCGATGCACTGATATTTCCACACTCGCGTGCTGCATGCCACAAACTGGGCATGTGAATGGATCCGCGAAGGAGGATGGGCAAAATGTTGCTCTCTTAACTCCGCCTCTGCCCTCGGCCTCGGGGTTCGGGCGGCTGATTCGGCCACGGATTCGCCTGGGGCTGATAGAAAACCGGTCTGGGGGGCGCAACCATCAAAGGCTGCCATGGAGAGCCACGCTTATGCTCGCGATTGATGGGAGGATTGTGAGGCTCTTGGTGAGGTTGCTGATGAGGCTGGGCGTTTTGCTGAGGCCTAGGCCTAGCTTGTTGGTCGTGGTTAATATTGTTGCTGTTGTTTTTAGCCGCGGACTGAAGGGGGTTCGGAGCGCGTAAAGCCGTGTTCTTGAGCGTCTCCAGCTCCTCCTCCACCTCCAGCTCCCTTGGCCACTCCCGCCGGCCTACCTTCTCCCGCTCCAACTCCAGCCTCCACTCTCGGTCCAGATACCGCCACTGATCGTGAAGTCTACCCAACATATCAATGAATCCACGGCGAGGGCGCTGCGGCTGCTCCACTCCCGGGGGTGTGTTATGGATGGCGTAATCTTCTGGCCTCCAACAGCTTGGGTGCCAGAGATGGCGCCGATCGTCGACACTGTCATCTTTTGGTCAGCGACGTAGTTCATCAGAAACGAGGGGTGGGAAGGGGACGAGGGGATGAATGGGTTGGCCTACTCTGACACGTTGGAGGCGCCACACCTGTAGCAAAATGAACAGGCACATCTACACTTAATAATGTGGCAACCCTTGACCAGCTCGACCATGTATCCACACACCGGGCAGAGTTTCCAGCCACGCTTCTTGCCCAAGGCGAGCACCTTGAGTGTATCTTGGTCTTGTTTGCAAACCAATCTCGGGTGGGAAGCCTGACGGCAATGCTTGCAGGTGCTGGCGAAGCACTTGGGACAACACCCGAGATCACTTTTGATCCGGGCGGGTTTGATGAAACTGCCACATTGACGGTTGGAGCAGTATAGCGGGTTGGGCGTGGTGAGCTCCTCAACCATGTCTTCATACGCCTGCTTCTCGTCTGCGGACAAGGAGGCACCTTGGTAGTCTTTTGTGTCGAAGATCGCCCCGCAGCAGCGGAAGGGATAACGACCTTTTATCGCACTGCGGATACCCTCGACGAGGCAACCGCCGCAGTAACCGTGGTTGGAGAGGTTCGAGTTCGATGATTCGTCGGAAGGAGAGGGAGGACAAAAGTAGATAAGCTGATCCGCAGGAAATTCGTCCATGCAGACGACGCATTCGGAGTTTCTGTGACTCTTGAGAGGCTCGACGGTCGTGGAAGTGACAACCATGTTGTTCTTCGTGTAAAAGGACGTTGACAGCTGGTTCGTTGGGTCTTTCAGCGTCGTGGACTTGATTCCGCCTTTGCTGCTCCTTCGCATCTTTGCTTGAATCATTGCCCAAGATGCGGAAACGCGTTGCCTGAAGCTCACCATCTCCGGGAGGGGGGTTTCTGTCCCTTCTTTCGATGTGGACGAACTGGGCTGTGGAATATCTGATTCGCGGAGACCGAAATCGATGTGGAAATGTGGCTTAATGATTAACAACGATTAACGGCTGTTAAAGAAACAAGATGGCAATGCCAAATAGTCCGCGTGTGTTGGTTTTGACAATGACACTGACGTTTTTCTCCTGCGCTATTCCGTCCGGGGGCTCTTTTACTTATCGGAGCAGAGCAGATGGCGAGTATGTATCAGTAGGCTTGTTCAATTTCGAACTTGATGGAGGTTGCGACGAGAACCAAAAGGGTGTAATGACGTGACAGTAGTAAGGAGCTTTATATGACAGCTATGGTTTAGGCCTGGACCATTGTGCTCTGCACAAGCAACTTGTCCGCAGGGAAAGCGGGGATGCTGCAGAAAAGACCGATTCCGGCAGCAAAAGGACCACCTGTCCCTTATGCACCCTTTTCAGAAACGTGAATGACCAGCTTGCCATGAGTCTTGCCCTTTCTGAGGTCCCTGAAGGCTGTCGGGACATCCTCAAAGTCATAGGCATGCTCTACTACAGGCTTGATTTTGCCCTCTGCGACCATCTGGCCGAGTATAGCCAAGTCTTGGTGTTGATCGCCCATCAGAGTGTACAACTGAAACTTGCGTTTTCCGCCACCGAGAAAGGAGGGTCTTAATAGCCTGGACATGGTTGAAGATAGGGCAGCCAAGGACACAGGCCCACCGACCTGCACGAACTTTCCATCGGGCAGGAGATAGTCATCGCCGGCCTTGTACAGTTCCGCCGGAAGACCGACATTGTCGACAGAGAGCTTGAAGACCTGACCGCGTTCTTTTAAGGCCTGGCAGACATCGACAGCTGTATAGTCAATGATGTCGTCGGCACCCAGAGCCTTGCATTGCTCGGCTTTGGCGGCAGAGCACGAGACGGTGACATGGCAGCCGAGGGCCTTTGCGATTTGGATGCCAAAGGAGCCGACACCACCGGAACCGCCATTGAGGAAGACCTTGTCGCCAGGCTTGACGTTGGGGGCAATGGTCTGATAGGCGGTCAATCCAGCACAGGGCAGAGAGGCAGCCTCGTCAACATCAACACCCGAGGGCAGGGAGGCACAGGCGTTTGCGCTTGCCACAATGTACTGACCGCAAGCGCCCTGCTGAGTAGGGGCTTGACGGCCAAAGACAATCTCGCCGACACGAAAGTTGTCGACGATGTTGGTGGTCTTGACGACGCGGCCGCAAAAGTCCCAGGCGGGAGTGGCAGGCGTGCGAACGACAGCACGGCCCAGATTCAGGGGCAGTTCGGCGATCTTGTAGTCCGAAGGGTTGATGCTTGCGCTGAGAACCTCAATGAGCAGCTCCTTGTCTCCCACACGCGGCGACAGGGTGGGCACGGGAACATGGTCCTTGAGCACCAAGTTTTGTTCCAGGCCACCCGTGGTCTGTGAATACTGCCAGGCGCGCATCGTAGGGGGGATTTCGGACGCCATGGCTGAGTGATATGGGTCGCGAATCTGGTGATGAGTGATGTTGGTGTTTGTCGACTGTCACTTTCAGTGGGTACTTGTTGTTAGTGTCAAGCTGGTCAAGAGCTTGACGCGAATGCTGCAGTGCTGGTTGGTGGGTTGGATGTGTGCGCGCAGTCGAGAAATAAGTTTGGAGTTTGGGAATGGAAGATTTCGCAGTTCAGTTGAATACTATCGCCTGGGACGGAAGGACATGAAAAAAATAAAAAGACGGCAAGCTGGATCGTTTATCGTAAAGAGACAGTTGTCGTCGATACTTTATTAGTCTAGAGCTGAGTGCCAAAAGCGGTAGGATGCACAGACCATCATGACCTCATCACTGTTTGGCTTGATGGGCGGGGATACACACAGCATTAGCAGAAAGAGAAAGAGCCTATCAAGAGATACCTCCCTGTTCCAAAACATCATCACATACACACGGATGATACTTTGCCAGCGCCTTCAAAGAGAGATCAGCGACATTCGCCAAAGAGAAGCTATGCTCAAGAGCTACTCTCTACCCTTCATCAATTCCATTGCTATTGATCAAAGAGAGTGACTCGCAGACACAAAGTCGCCTGTGATGGGCTTTACGCTTGATAGACTGCTAACTGAACCGCAAGGCGACAGCTGCACGAGCTGTTAGCGGCAAAACTGCATCGTCTTACTGGCCGAGGGAGGCAACATCAAACGCTCCCCGTCCACAGCCAGTTCCATTCCCTTTCAAGACATAACCCCCGAAACCAATGACCTGCGATACGAATCTCAGATCACGGTCACCCGTCGGAAAGATGCCAAAACGTGGGATGTGTACGGCCATTACAAGCCGCTGGCGCAGACCCCCGAGTGCGGATACAGAGTCCACGCTTCATGGGCTCTCAGCCTCCCATATTATCCCGACGGAAACACGATGGCTCAACTTGACAATGTATGTCGATCGTCCTGATCAGCAATTACGTCCAAGTTGCGTTTACACTCCGTTTGGGCAGATTATCTCGATTCTAGAAATTCAATACCATGTTTGTACCCAAAGACCGGACGAGATGCCGATTTGTTCGCCCTTACGAAGCAAGCAACATCGTCAGTGTTTCCACTACCACAATGTAGTTGGGACGATACAGCTTCCCGCAATGTCAACAACACCCCTCTCTCCCCCCCAATCCTCACCCGGTTCTCTTCCCGAACCAGGTTGAACTCTACCTCGACCATCTCGCCCACTCACAATGGACCTACAAGACAAGGGATACAGCGCCAGAGACCTTTTGGGTGTCAACTTCGGCTCGTGGGCTCTCGCGTTCACCGCCGTCGCCCTTCGTGGCTACACGCGTCTCCGGGTCAGGAGGGACTGCTTTGGGCTTGACGATATCCTCATGTTCATGTCCATGGTCTGCTTCACGGTATACGTTGCCTTTGCTATCACCGGCATCCACCACGGGACTGGTCATCGTGACAATGACTCAACTGTAGAAGCCAAAAAGGTGTGTGCCGCACATCTCCCCTGACTCTTATTACACCCAAGGGCCAAGGCCGACCGAGTTCCTAGCTAACCTGATGGCGTTCTCAGTTCTGGTGGGCGTGCTACCATGCCTACACCGTCACCATCCTGTTCGCCAAGCTATCCGTCAGTTGGTTCCTGCTACGCCTTACGACCATCAACAAGATACACAGACGCATCATTCACGGCGCCGTAATAATCACAGTCTCCAACAGCATAGCCTTTATTATTTTTACGATATTCCAGTGCAAACCGATCTATTACTTCTGGGATCAATCACCACCAGGTGGAAAATGCGTGAGAGCCTGGGCCATTCTGGCCGTGGGATACACGTGCAGCGTCTTCAACATCATCACCGATCTCGTCTACGCGCTGCTCCCAGCTTGGATCATTTATCATCTCCAGATGAAGCTCAAGACGAGGATTGCCCTCATGATACTGATGGGCATGGGATGTCTGTACGTATTTCATTCATCCTACCCTCGGATCCAAGTCAGCAACAGCTAACTTTTAGGGCGATATAGCGCAAGTTGCGCAGTTATAGCCCGCATGACATACCTCGACGAACTAACCGACTACCAAAACTCCAACTTTCTTTTTTTAACGGCCAACGTAGCTATCTGGTCCAGCGTGGAACAAGGTCTGGCCATCACGGCAGGTAGTCTCGCTACGCTGCGCCCGCTGATCATCAAAATTGGCCGCAAGCTCGGATTCGCCAGCGCTACGTCCGCGTCCGCAAACGATATTGAGTTTGGCCCGATTGGACCTCCGGTGTTGCTAAGGGAACGCACAAACTCCATGTTCTCGAGGAGAGGACCGTCGAAGCCTAGAGGTAGCAATGCTGTGCTACTTGAGACGGAGACGGCGGTGCCCTTTGATGGGGCGCATGTAAGTCCAAGTTCTAGGGGAAAACGAAGAAGACTGAACGAGGAATGAGGCTAACCAGGATTCTTATGAGTAGTACTCCAGACACGTTATTGTTACGAGATCCGTCGACAAAGATCTGTCTTTCGAAAGAAATCGTGATCAGACGGATTCTACATCTTCATGGCCCTTGAAGCCGTAGTTAGTTGATCGCTTTCGCTCCCCGTTGCTTATATCAGCGTAGCAAGCGAGCCACTGCCCTTTGATTCAGCGCGGTCACAATTAGTCTCCGTCCATGACGAGTCGCAATCCCCCGCATTGGTCTCTCTGTTTCGTTCTCACCTTCCAGAGTCTTTTCAACGGCCTTCATGAGAACTTCACGAATCACGACGGCTTAGACCGTGCCGACTTCTGGAAGGTAATTAATAGACACGGAATAGTACGATCCTATTTGGACTCTATTTGGGACATTCCCGTTGTCTGCCATGTGCTTGTCTTGACCCTGTTCCCAGATCTCGATGAAACACATGCTAAACTCTCCAGTAACCATCATCTACTTCTTCATCTTCCAACCCTTCCAATATATCACACGCCGCCTTCTCCGCCGCCATGTACGTACTAAGCTGCGTAAATGTGCCCGGAAGCCTCGGATACACACTCGCATCCACGACCCTCAGTCCCTTGACCCCCCTGACTCTAAACTTACTATCCAACACCGCCATCGGATCCCCATCGGGCCCAATCGGGCACGTCGAACTCGCATGATGACCCCACGCGTCATCTATAATATACTGATCAAGGTCCTCATCGCTCTGCGTATCCGCCCCAGGCCTAACCTCCTGCGTGCTCACGCCCGACCTCCTTAGTGCGTCGCGCGCAAGAGAAATACCTTCGCGCATCGCCGTCAAATCGGCCTGGTAGTCGCCCGATCCATACTCAAAGTAGTTGAAGTTAATCTCGGGAGTGTCCAACGGATCGTTAGAGCGAAGCGTCACAGTACCAGCCCTGTTGCGCGGGTGCGCCTTCAAGATAGCCCACGTCCACCAGTTATGCTCGGCAACCAAGTCCACCGAGTAACCGGGGTAATAACCAGCAAAGTTGAGAGGCCCGCCAAAAGTAAACAAATCCCAGTCATCGCCCTCCGCCGCGCTAGACTTGTACAGCATTACAACTGGTACGCCGTTGGAGGCATAAGTGCCGCGGTCTCCCATGACAGGGTTCTCCCACCGATCCAAGCACGGATCGGTCGTATTGTCGAACAGCAGGAACGTGCAATTCTCGAGCACGGTCCAGTCCTGGGGCACCTTGACGTTGACGCTGATCTCGTAGTGGTCTTGCAAGTTGCCGCCTACTCCCGGCAAGTCGACAACGACGGGAATGCCGAACTTGGATAACTCGTCCTGCGGACCGATGCCCGAGAGTTTGAGGATCTGAGGCGAGTTGTAGGTGCCACCCGAGATAATTACTTCGCGCGAGGCCTTGGCGGAGCCGGGTGTACCGTTGGGGTGCTTACCTCCATGCTTCGCGTGCTTGGAAGAAGAAGAAGAAGAAGAAGAAGAAGAGAGGGGAGAAGCGCGGTAGAGGTATTCGCCATCGAGGAATTCGACGCCTGTGGCTACTGGTTCCCCTGTCTCATCGCAATCGGTATCATCAAACGTGATCTTGGTGACGAAACAGTTCAAGCGCACGTCGAGCGGGTACTTCTTGCTGCCGTCGGGGTTAAGGGCGTCGCGCACGGCGACGACAAAGTCACGACTGCCGTTGCGGGTGCCGTTCCTAGTGCTAATGGGAACTTCGTAGTAGCTCGGATCATAGTCGCGGGCAATGGTGTCGGCGTTGAGATCATTGGTTGCGAGGGTGGTGAGGTTGATGGGCGATTGGGTGGCGTTGCCAAGGGCGTAAGCGCCGCCGACGACTACAGACAAAAGTTCAGGGTCCGGGGTGGTTAAGGTGGGAATCTCGATGGAGAGCCAGCCGTCCTGGCCGTGGCCGTAGTAACCACCTTGAGGGTAGTTTTTGTCCTCCAAGGCGATGAAGTGCTGGCGCATGTTGTCCGGCAACCAGCCTTCGTCACCGGTCAAGTCGGCGATGTACTGGAAGTCGGACTGGAAGGGGTAGACGGCAAGGAGGGCATTGTGGGCGGTGCAACCACCGAGGGTGCCGGCGCGGGGGTAGAATGTTCCGAGCATCTCGGCGCCCTCGGGCGGGGACAGGCCGGTGTAGATGGTGCCGTTCGGTAGCCGGTAGCTGGTCTTCCAGTCACGGGCCTGTTGCTCATCGTCGGGGTAGTGGCGAACGTAAAAGGCCCAGGACAACTTCTCGTCCTCGGTAGCCCGGGTGCTGTAGGCCGGGACTGTGACGTTGACGTTGTTGCCCTGGTCGTTGCCGGCTTCAATCAGGAGGGTCTTGTGGCCGGCCATGGCCAGCCGGGCGGCGAGGGGACCGCCACCCGCGCCGGAGCCAACGACGATGTATTCATAGCCGGTCAGCTCGACGGCTGAGGCGCGAGGGGCGGCGGCCAAGGCTAGGCCTAGGAGATGATGGAAAAACATAGTGTCGTTCTTCGCTCGGTTGCTGCAGAACCTGGAGAAACAAGAGAGAGTGATGAAAGAGTGACTCCAGCCAGCTCGAGCCGCGAGGAGGCCATATACTTATACTATGGTGACTTACGCCAGAGGAGGAGATTGGAAGTCCATGGTCAGCCACGCCACAACCACACAGCGATGACTGGCTGTCATTAAGTTGGCACAGGATACAACATCGGTGTAGCCATGCTCCCCTTACCCGACAGTCGTGCAGTTCCAGGCTGTGGCAGGCCCTTCATCTTGCTTTTTGGATGGAGCCTGGACACGGCGGTAATGCACCGAGAGTTGTTTTCAGCAGGCAGGAGCCATGTCTAGACGGGGAAACGTGATCGCCAAGTTTGGTCCCCCGTTTTCCCGAACCAGATGCGGGAGGTGAGAGCATAGAGGCGAAGTGATCGTCTTTCTGGGACTCTCTCGGAGAGATCTCAAGCGAAATCATCAACAACCAACCTCCTTCCACAAAACAACATCTAGAGGCACATAGTGAAAGTTGAACACTTGAAGCTCCGTCTTTTTGGATCTGTCAAGACAAACTAAGGCATTGACTCCTTCAACAGTTCGCGTGTTCAGTCACGGCCCACGCCACAACGAAGACATTGCCCTTTTCGTTCCAATACTCCCACTTGAGATAGTGACGATGCTGGACAGGTACCTTATCCCTCTTTGAGCGCCAGGAAGATGACAAAGATCTGCCACAACTATGCCGCGTGCCTTTAAGCATGCAAATGCCATGGAGGACATGTGTATGTCCGGATATGTGCATCAATGCCCGCAAAAGGGAGTTTAATAGGGGGAGTACATGATGCCACCCCGGAGCATTATTCTTCTTTCAGTATGCTTATAGACTACGCTTGATTTCCTAGTCAGACGAAACTCAACCCCCGAGTCTGTTTGAGTACATACAACCCGTCCTTGTCCTGCCAGCTGCCTGCACAGATCTGCCTGCCCTCTGTCCGGCGCTCAAAGGGGGATATCTTATGCCATTTTCGCGTATTTCTATCGCACATCACGGCACTGGTGAGTTGAAGAGTCGGAGAGGTCGTTATGGTATGTATGGTTGTGTCGAGTTGAGGCTGTTATGTAGGTAGGTACCACCTACCTTAAGTACGCATCGGACACCGCAGATCGTGTTCTGCAGCTTTTGAAAGCGGTCACCAATCACAGCTCACAGACATTCTTTTGTCGAGCGCGAGCTATTCCGGTTCTTGTCTAAGTGCCTCATTGGTGTGGCTTGCATGGCATTGACGACCACTTGCATTCAGCGATGGTGGTGACCGGAAGGGAACCTGGACTGACGCGGAAGGGGCCGGGGAGCAGTGAACTCTGGTCCGCCCGTTCAAGATCAAGAAGAATATGAACTTGCAAGTGTTGTTTGGGTTGTAAATGTAAAAAGAGATGGAGATGTCGATGAGCTGAAATGGAAACTTCCACTTCAGCGAGGCAGTCTCTGAGAGCCAGGACGGGATGTCTGTCACACCACCTAAGAGTGACGTTAGAGGCGTTCTGAGTTCCCTTTTCCACGGAATCCCACCTGTTCATCTACGACCCATCGCCACCAAATCTAGCATGCGCATGATCACCCGACTCGTGGGCCGTAAAACAGGACGGCGGTGAAACCCAGCGTATAGCGACACAGACATCCTTCCGCAGGCGCGCGTGCGCAAATTTGAGGCTGAACAGAGCAGCACAAAGGAAGCCGAGTGGCTGTCTCAGGTAGGTAGATTGAAGTTTACGCCCTCCCCGGGCTCGCATGTCTCGATATCGTGGATTGCATGGACATCCTGGTTCATCGTTTACGTCCATGTCTCTCGAGAGGTGTAAGTCGAGTGTCGTGTCTCAAGCCAAGATTTCGGGGACGGGGACGGGGACGGGGACGGAAACCGAGCTCGCCGATAGAACTCTAATGGCAGACTCGTGATAATTCATCCGCATGCACATCGATAGCTAGCATTGATGGTCTACCATAAGTCACGCAGTCCTTCGTTTCGATAGGTTCGCAACCGTTGATAGTTGGAAACACTCCGTAGGCTCCTTTTCCTAGAATGTCTTGCGCGCACATATGTACAAGCCAACTCCCACAGCTCTGAACGGGGTACATACCTAGGTACAGGTACGAAATCCCACGGGAGGTGGAGGACAGGAGGTACATATGTACCCCAGAAAGGGGGGGGGGGAAGGGATCAAATGCAGACGAAGCGGGATGTGGATGCTACATATGTAAGGTATGAAAGGTTGAGAAGGTTCAGTCAGGAAGAGGTGATCTGGAAAGCGGTGAATTCAAGGCCCCGTCTTTCGACATCACTTAGCTACCTAGGTAATAACAAGACCCCCTGAAGCCATTCTCCCACATATAGACTCCAATCCAGTAGCTGCACTTCTTTATGCGAGTTCCTTGACCTTACGCTCGTATACCTTAGTCAACTGATTGCTAATACAACAACGAATCACCACAAATAACCCACGTAAGCCAAGCATGTCATATGCAATTGTGTCTTGAACGGTTTTGTGGTAGTGCTGAACTTGGCCGTCAGCATCGTCCCTTGGCATGCCTGCCGCCATGGGTTTCTGCCAGCTCTATGGTAGGTATCAACTTTGGCAAGATGCGGTGTATGAGGGTGCATGAAGCCTTGCATCGGCATACCTAGCCGACTTGCCTGGCTCCTGACAACGCTCGGGAAAGTAATGGCGATGTGTGTCATTCTACGTAGTGGTGTCTGTGAATAGCTTCATCGGTGGCTACCGGTTATCCGCGTCGCGAGGTGCGCAGTAGTAGTAGTCTAAGAAAACGCCCGAGTAGTTTGAAGTGGGTATGGAAGCGAGAGATCAAACCAGAATGAAAGAGTTATGAGTATTGTATATTTAACTGAGATATGTGATAGGCGATACTACACTTGTCAACACTGGTGGCATTCAAACAGTGAGTGCCTCCGTTGTCTCAAAATGTATATGCCAGCTCTAGCTATCCAAACATTATCCATTATAGCTGCCGTTCCTGGCCAGATATTCGATTACAATTTGTTTGACACATTTTAGTGGGGGTAAGGGTAAAAAGCCCATCAGACCCTCCCCTGACGACCAACACTCTCCACGCGGAAGCCCAACTTCTCCATGCCCGCCACCTCCAACACTCCCCTACCATCAAACACCCAGTGAGGTTTGTGCATGTGGTAGTGAACCTTCCTCCAGTCGAGCCTGCCCTTGAAGACGTGCTCTTGTCCCGCTCCGTAACCACTGGTCCCCGTTTCCTTCTCGATGAAACAGTCTGGACAGTCCTCAGCGCAGTCTGGCACGGAGTTGAAGCGATGCAATGGATCTTCCTTATCCTCCGCATCTGTTGACTGCAGCAGGAAGGTATGAAGAGCAAGGAGCTCAGTCTCGGTTGGCTCCTCACCCTTGAACGGTCGTGGGTCAGGGACAACGGCCTTGACAGGCGCAGCCTTGGGGGCCAGGACCTCAGCAGACGCTGATACCGGCTCACCGGTGTTCTTGAACTCATCGAACTCGGTGGTAATTAGTAGCGCATCGGAGGAGTGACAAGCTTCGTAAGCGTCTGCATAGACAATGACAGGGCCTCCGTTTCTCTGTAGTACCTCGGCGCCGACATAGCGACCGATATCCTCGGCCATCTGCGCTGGGTTGCAGCAAGGGTCGTAAACGGCAATTTCCCGTGGCCCTTCCTCCACCAAGGTTCGGATAATCTCCACTGCTGGCGACTCGCGGGTATCGTTGGTATCCTTCTTGAAGGCGTAGCCAAGCATGGTGAGTTTCTTGCCAATGAGGGTATTGTTGAGACACCTCACGACACGCGAAGCGAACCTGTTCCTGGCGAACTCGTTCATGGTGATAACATTTCGCCAGTAGTCTGCTACCTCGGGTAGTTGGAGGCTCTCGGCCAAGTAAGCCAGACTGAGCACATCCTTCTTGAAGCAGCTGCCACCAAAACCGATACCGGCCTTGAGGAACTTGCTGCCGATACGGGGGTCGGCACCAATCGCACCCGCAACCTCACTGACATCGGCGCCAGTCACCTCGCACACGGCCGCAATTGAATTGATACTGCTGATGCGCTGGGCGAGCATGGAGTTCGCGACAAGCTTGGCAAGCTCAGAGCTGAACACATTGGTAGTGATGATCCGTGACCTCGGGATCCAAGCGGAGTAGACAGATGCTAAAGCGGCGGCTGCGCGCTGACCAGATGGTGTTGCACTGGAGCCGATCAAAATACGATCTGCGTTGAGAAGATCCTTGATAGCAGTTCCGGCAGCCAAAAATTCGGGGTTGCTGAGAACCTCGAAGTGAATACCGGGCCTATGGAGTGCAAGCTGAGGCACAGTTAGCGAGCCAACCCTTTTACATAACCAAATCGGTTCTCCTTACAGTGTCTTGTACAAACTGCGCCGTCCGACAGGGGACTGTAGACTTTTCTACAATGATGGCGCCCGGCCGGGCATGCTGCGCAACCACATTGGTGACAGCCTCGAAAGCAGTCATGTCCGTGGCAGAACCTGCACCGGCACCACGGCTCTTGGTTGGCGTATTGACAGCAATCAGAACGATATCGGCTTCGCTGATAGACTTGGCTACATCGGCTGTGAAGAAGAGATTTGGCTGGCGGGCAGGAATAGGCTTCGAAACATTGTCTTCGCATTGGCTGCCGCATTCTGAGGCCGGAGTGGACGTATCCGAGACATCTGGCGTGTTCGAAGATGTTGTGTTGGTCGTGGAGAGGAACCTAGTCTCGATAGTGCATTCCTTGGATCCGTCACGGGCAATGCGCAGAATATGGTTCAAGCCAGGCTCGTAGATGGGGGGATGTACAGAGTTCCATCGTCGAATGCGCTTCTCGTCCTTGTCGACAACCGTCACTCGGATATGGGGGTTATTGAAGGCAATAACAGCCGCAGTAGGGCCACCTGGAGATCTGTTAGTCTACAAACGCTCGACTGTGATCCCCACAGGTTGGCAAGACTCACCAACATAGCCAGCGCCAACACAGCAGATGTTGCGCACTGGCGGTGTTCTGGCCGTGGTGTCGAACAGCGTGGACGACAACGATCTGGAGGTGCTCTGGGGCTTCATGGCGGGGATCCCCGGTTGTTCATCCGCAGCCTGGAGGACGGGACTGAAGGACAAGCTGCTTCCTGGGGTCGTTGGTGCGGTGGAGACGTCGAGACTAACGTCGTTCCCCAGGTCCAGAGTTGAGGGTAACTGATGGGCCATTGCCTTGTGCAAGTGTCTCTCCTAGTGTTGAGACAGGCG